AAGTGGGACCCGACTCACAGCAACCCCTCCTTGGGCTTCCGAGGCAATATCACTATGGAAGTACATTGCCCCACCTTCCTTCCGAGGAGTGGCTGGTAGGTTTGAACCACCAGCCTTCTGGTTAGCAGTCAAGTGCCTTAGCCACTATGCTACCAGAGCTCCCTCATTAGTTATTAGAGAAATGAAAATTAAAAATTATAATGAGATACCACTGTGTACTTACCCAGGCTAAAATTTTAAAATGTAAACAAAAATTGGCACTACTAAGTGCTGGTGAGGATACAGAGCAGCCAGAACTCTCATATATTGCTGGTGGGAATGCAAAAAATTCAACAATTTCTTATAAAATTAAACTTACCACATGACCCATTTATATATATTTATTTATATAAATAAACCTACCACATGACCCAGCAATCCTACTCCTAGGTATTGACCCAGAAGAAATGAAAACATGTTTACACAGAAACCAGCGAGTATTCATAGCAACTTCAAACTGTCAAAAATTGGAAACGACTCCAATCTTTCAACCGGCGAATGGTTGAACAAACTATGGCACAGACACAGCTGTGGTACTGGTATGGTATAGTAAAACGCTACTCAGAAATAAGAACAAACATTATGGATGAATCTTAAAAAGCATTTTGGCAAATAAAAGCAGCTGGACCCAAAGACCATGTATTGTATGATTTCATTTATATGGTACTCTTGAAAAGGTAAAACTAGAGACAGAACAGATCAGTAGTTGTCAATGGCTGAAGTGAGTGGGAGGAGGAGTTGACAGCATGAGGAATCTTTGGGGGTGGTGGAACTGTTGTGTGTCAAACTGTGGTGGTAGATCCCTGAATCTATGCATTTGTCAAAATCCATAGTGTGCTATATCACAAAGAGTGAAATTTACTGAATGTAAATTTCTTGAAAAATCAACTAGGATGTGCGCAAAAGATGGAATGTAGACTGTGACAAATGAATTTAACTAAAATCATATAACCACACTGAAGGGGCTGGGGGAAAAGGAGTAGACCTAAACAACTTTGGAAAACAGTATAGATACTGAAAGACTAAAAACAAAAGGAATTGGGCAAAACACTACTCTAGTTGGCAAATCTGTTTCTCACAGATGAATGTTTTAGGAATTCTGAAACTTTTTCTATAACTAGGATTGAAAAAATAAGCAAATTATAGCTAATGAATCAGGCTTCTCATTGTTTGAGAAAGAAGTTACAAATAAGGAAAGGGAGAAGGCTAGAATGAATCCTTTGGTGCTGGACTGGAGTTGGAGGAACTCCTGGTTTTTGTTTGGTATACATGTGGAGAGATATAAACAAAGGCATGAATGTACATGGGTTAATATACTACATTTATTTTCTAGCTTTATCCACTGAAAGGGACTAGACAAAGCAATGACAACTCAGTAGTAATGAGCATACATAGCTCATTTTGGTTTCTAAATAACATTTTCCAATAAAAGAAAGTAGGACTCTTTGGAGAAGTTGATTCCAGAGTTTGGGTAGGGAAAATACAAGACGAGACTGGAGTATCTGTGGTGCTAGAAAGAAAGGAAATGCTCAAAAACAACAACAAAAAAAAGGATGCAGCATTGAAGGCATTTAAAAGCCAACCTGAAAGAGCTCCAAATGGCCAATGTTAGAACTTGAGCAAACAAATAATGATAGTATTGGATTATAATCCCAAAATAAAATGCACATGAATCCATACTGACTTAAGTAACTCAATAAATAAATAGGGAAGAAAAGACAACTCTTCTATACAGAATTCCAGTTGATACATATAGAAGGAATGAGAGAAACAGAAAATTACTATTAATAACCACCACATGTCAAAGCTAGTGGGCAAAAGTTTATGCAGAAACGGAATAGTCACATAGTCTCAGAGTATCTTCCCCTAAAGATTTATTAATTACAAAGGGAAAAAGAGTAATTTTACAATAGCAATACCACCTTAATTAAGTAGTCAAAGTTCACATCACCAGTAATACATATATACCATCTACCCCTGATATCATGCACTGAGAAGGGCACTACTACTTCTGTGGCATCCTTTCCAATTATGCATAACTTTAATCATGCACAATAATCACACAAGCATTAGCTAAACTCAAATTGAGAGTTTCTACAAAATAACAGACCACCACTGTTCAAAAGTATTGAGGTCACAAAAGATAAGACAGAACTATCACAGATTGGAGACTTAGGAGATATGACTAATGGAATGTGAGATCCTAGATTGGTGCCTGAAACAGAAACACTGGCAAAATCTAAATGAAGTCTATAGTACAGTTAATGATTTTATAATCAGTGTATCTTTTTTTTCAATTGTGACAAATATATGTAACAAAGTATTTGATATTTCAAGAATTTTCATATGCACGGTTCAAAGACATTAAATGTTCAACCATTACCCTTATCCATGCCAATGTGAGTACTTTGTTTTGGTAACTGTTCTGTGGTTATATAAAGATGTTAACATAAAGGGAAGCTGAGTGAAAGGTAAAGTGGAACTCTACTATTCTTGCAACTTTTCTGTAAGTCTAAAATTGTCTCAAATAAAGCAATTGATTTAAAAAAAAAAAAAAAACCACATCATGAGGATAAGCACCAGATTCAGTACAATATGTGGGTAGGGAAGTAAATAAAATAAGGAAGCTTCAACTTCATGAGTCATGTTTATTTCTTATGCTGTATAAAAGGATAACCCTAGGTGAAGCACATATTTTAAATAACACATCAAAAGCATGATCCATAAAAGAAATAATTGATAAGCTGGATTTTTTAAAATATATTTTGTTATGTCTGAAATTAGGAGCCCTGGTGGCTCAGTGAAGCACTCAACTGCTAACTGCAGGCTTGATGGTTACAACTCAGCAGTCACTCCACAGGAGGATGATGAGACAGTCTATTTCTGTAAAGATTTACAGCCTCGGAAGCCCTATGGGGCAGTTCCACTGTTTTACAGGGTCGCTGTGAGTCGGAATCAACCCAACAGCAGTGGGGTTTTTATTGGTTATGTCTGAAATATCTTATATGTCTTTGAAAAGCTTCAGACTTTTGAACAAGGTAGAGATACTTCTGCCTATAATTTATTAATGCACTCAATACTTACCAAGTTCCATTGCTAAAATGTGATTCCTGGCCCTCAAGAAATTCAATTTCAGCAACTACTGAGATACAGTCCTAATTCTTGTCTTAGTTTTGGGCCACATAGTCTTGATCATAACTACTCAACTCTGCCATTGTAACAAGAAAACAGCAACAGACAATACATATTTGAATGGGTGCAGCTATGTCCTAATAAAACTTATTTACAAAAGCAGGCTGCATGGTTTGCCACCCACTGATCTGAGACATTAAGTTGAATTTGTGAGTTTTAACTAAAACTAACACACCACAAGGTGGAGCTATGGCCACACTTTCATAATTTGCAGACATTTCATATATGAAAATACAAGATGCATTTTCAATAGCAGGTGCAGCTGTACCCACAAGTCTTCCAACCCTGATTCACAAATTTACCATTACATGCCAATTTCACACAAAGTGACAAATACCAAGAAAATAAGAGAGAGGCAGATGGGGTCTTTTGATGGGCATTTTAGCCTTGAAACTGAGGAACTAAATTTCATTATTCTAGGAATGATCAAGGGAAGCCTTCCTATCTGCTTGTTTCTCCAATCATTTATTTTGGTAATTAAAACAATTCTGATAGGTGTAACTTTTATCCTATCCTATCCTGGGCCTTATTCTAGTATGCCAAATTTCATTTAAAAATGATTCTTAAATATTTCAATAGGCATCTAAAAAGAAATTTCTTTGCTGCAGGTTTAAAGATTCTCCTAAAATGTTTGGGGAAAAGCAGGGAGGGGAAGAAAAAAGAAAAATTCAAGACCAAACCAAAACCAAACCTGTTGATCCTTACCTACTGTGGTAGGTATGAATACAGGACAGGGAAAGAAGACTCAGCCCAGCCCAAGCATTTAGCGAAGGCTGCAGAGGAGTCTGAGGTGGGTCTTAAAGGATGACCAAGCCAAGCCAGCAAAATAAAAAGTGGAGGGGGAAGGAGAGAAAAAAGCACAAGCAAAAGCTAAACTAAACACCTATGCTGGGAACAAGGAGCCCAGATGGTGGCAGTGGGTAAGCACTTTACTGCTAACCAGAAGATTGGCAGCTGGAACCGACCAGCGGATCCACAGGAGAAAGATGTGGCAGTCTGCTTTCATGAAGATGTACAGCCTTGGAAACACTACGGGGTAGTTCTACTCTGTCCTATGGGTCTCTGTGAGTCAGAATCAACTTAACAGCAATGGATTTGGTTTCTGGGTTTGATGTATGGCATTGGGCCGGAAGAGAAATGTGTGGTCACAGTAAACACTTGTATTGGTTCTCCATTTCACACACAAATGTAGGCAAATGGGGAATTACTAACATCATGCCTTCTGTAAGGCTACGTATCACTCCAACACAATCAGGAAAATGACCTATTCTGAAATGCTATTTTCCAGGCCCAATCAAATCCCAAAATACACTCTTCGTGAAGATCAGCTGCAGGGGACTTCAAACACATTAAAAACAGCATATATTTTATTTTCAAGCACACAATAAACACCAAACTTCTCCACTGTCAACAGTACCCATGTATCAATTCTCATACAGAATTGGGTGTGTTGGAAAAAAATTTTTGGTGAGGTTTCTGACGATCAAGAATCAAGACACAGAGGTCCTAAAAGTAAACGAACTTTATAGCCAATATCCTCAAAACCAAGAGAGGGCATATTTTACTTTCAAAGTAAAGGGATAAACACTTTACCATATCCTTTTGTCCATAAAGTATTTTACTACGGAATGCTCCAGGTTGAGTCCGCATAACTCTTACACAATTCACTTCAAGTGGGATGAGGTATTAACTATAAAACATGCAGTTTTAAATGTACTTCGCATTATGTGAAGTATTTGAGGATGGAAAGTAGAACTCTAAAACTTTTCTTAAATGAAAGAGCAAGTTCCAGGAGTATTTTATTGTTTGAGTAACAGAATACACAAAACCAGGCAGAGAAGTCCCCAAGAAAATGATGGTCATGCTTCCCTGTTGTTTGTCCTTTGGTCCTTCATCTTCTAAGCACTTACTATATATATTTTTTTATGATTAGTCATTTACTTTGATCACAAATGCAATCCAAATGTGAATAAATAAATGTATTATCTTTTAATACTTCCTTTCGATGTTTCTTTAAATAGAAAAAAAGTGCTAAGTATCTTCTCATAGCCTATTTGGCCACAGTTGTCTCACCTATGGTTTTAAAAACAGACTGTCACTTGGTCTTCTGAAAATCCTTCTTGAACTATAGCTCATTCTGTTAAATCCTGGGGCACCGGTCCTTATTGATATTGTCGATAGTCTCCAAAAGGTGAGGATGGTAACTGGGTTGAAGGCAACTGGGAAGGATCTTCAGCAAACTGAGGACCTGCCATTCAGAAATAAAAGTTGTTGTTTTTCCATTTTTATGGTGAAGTGGGTGAAAGTTTACAGAGCAAATTCATTTTCCATGCAGCAGTTCATGCATATTTTGTCTCATGACACTGACTGCAACTCCCCATAATGTAATAGCTCTCTTCCCACTTTCTCCCTGTAGTTACTTCTTCCCTGTGTCCTTCTTTTCTATGTACCCATCCCCCCCCCAAGCTGTCTCCCTGTGCAAATACTGCCCTTCTGTTTTCCCATGACTGATTACTCCAAACTGCATATCTACCTGATGAAAATGTTCACCCCATACAATTCCAGACCTGAAGGTGGCTAGGGGCCATAGTCTCAGAGGTCTTATCAGGCTCTATCAGACAAACATACCTAGTCTTTTTTTTTTTTTTTTAAATGATTTTGAGTTTTGTTCCAGATTGTTCTCCCACTCTATCCGGGAGTTCTTGCACCAATCCCCCTCTGAGTGGTTGACAGTGGTAGCCAGGCACCATCTAGTTTGTCTGGTCTCATGGTCAGATAGGCTGAGGATCACATGGTCTACCAGTCTCTTGGACTAATAATTGTTTCCATGTGTCTTTGGGTTTTCTACATTCTTCTTTGCTCTGGACCAGGAGAGACCTATCATTACATCTAAATGACCACTTGCAAGCTTTTAAGATCCCAGTCACTACTCACCAAAGTAGGATATAGAACATTGTTTTTGTGTAGTATGTTATGCCAATTGACTTGATGTCCCCTGAGACCATGGTCCTGAGCCCACAGGTCCAACTACTTGCTCCCCCTAGGTAGTTGGCTGTGGTCAGGAAGCCACCACAATTTTACCCCTTGTCAGCTCTACTATACACCGGGACACTCTT